CTAGCGCCCAGTGCATCCATATTGTGTGGATAATATTGCATGAACTAAATGGTATTGAGTTTGGCTTTATATTCCGTATTCTGAATGCTATTTTAACAGCTATGCGATAGGGGTTGTATAGTTTTGACATTGAATAATTATTGAGATTTTATTGGATTGAAATTGCAGTGCAACCACACCCAGGTGGTGCAAATGTTAGAAGACGATTTTTGTGCAATCACGGCAGCTTTCAAATATTAAAAGTCCAATGATATGACACTAGCTCATTTTCTATTGGACGAATAACGAGAGATTCACACTTTTTTTTTTTTTTTTTAAGGGGGGGAAATATCGAATGACTGCTTGCCTGGGTGAGGCGGAAGGAGTGTCAGACTTTACTGACTAAACCACCCCGTTCCTTCTCCTGCACGTCGAGCCGGAGCCCGGTTACCGTTAGGTTCTCCGCGACTCCGAATCGGCATCGCCCTATTGGGCCCCATCTGTGGTGGTCTGATGGCTCTTTGAGGCGCGCGCGGAACGCGACGCGCGTACGCTCGGGTCTGTTTCTGGTCGGACGGGGAGCCACCCATGCTCGCCGTCCGCAGGCCCGCGCTTACGGTGGCCGGTGATCGTCCGCGATCCCCGACGCCCGGTGTGTCCTTCGCGATGGCTGGGTTGCGAGGAGGCAGCGCTTCGCTGCCTCACGCGTCCCGCCTCCTCCTTAGCTAGCATGACTGCTTCGCAAAAGGGAGGAGACGGCATCCCAGTCCCCCTCGCTCCGCATCATGGCCTGCACTAGGCCCGGACGAGAGGTCGCCATCGCCGATCACTTCCCTGAGGGCACGGCGGTGCTCAGCCCACGCAGGGCATTCCGCTACGGTGTGTTCCACCGTGTCCTCAGGGCGGTCCTCGCAGTGATGACACCCGGGCGTTTCCTCCCGCCCCATCAGACACAGGTACCTCCCGAAACTTCCATGTCCGGTGAGGACTTGCGTCAGGCGGTAGGTGAGGACGCCGTAGCGTCTCTCAAGCCACTCCTCAAAGAGGGGTCTTACCGCTGCAATGGCAGCGAGCCCAGCCCTCGGTTGCGACAGTCGTTGCTGCCATTCCGCCATGAGATCGCGCCGGAGCTCATCCCGCCACGCACTTATCTGGCGCGGCAGAGGAGTTTCGCCCCGGCGACGTGCCTCCGCGCGCATGCGATACACGCGCGCGAGCACCTTCGCCTCCAGATCCCACGGCGGTGATCCGGCAAGGAGGTTCGCCGACTCCCCGGAGATCGTGCGGTATCCGCGGATCATTCGGATCGCCATGACCCTCTGTGACATGAGCAGCGTCCGAGCAGGACGCCGCAACAAGTTCGGCGCCCAAACAGGGGCGCCGTAGAGGGCCATGGACCGCACGACCCCGGAGAGATTCACACTAGGGCCATCTGGTGATTAAGAACACGGTAGACCCCATTCTAAAGAAGTAAAAAGAGGTTTAGGTCTTTATAACGGGACCAGGCTACTGATAAGAACTGATGAGCCTATAAATAAATACCGTGCATAAATCACATTAAAATTAAGCAGGTCTTCGTGGATCTGATTACGAAACTGCATCAAAATCCATTCAGCAGTTTAAGAAGGCATTATAAACAAACATCACAAACTTGCATCCTTCCATTCCTGTTCACCTTCTACAGACTATCTTCATAATATATGACGCATAACATAGCAATATCACGTGATCAAATCATGGTCAAACACATAACGTATTATGTAAAACAGTTATATATGCGAATTTATTAATAAACATAATGATATGTCGGTCGTAAGGTAACGTTTTGGAATCAAAATGTCATGGTTTGCAGATATTTCCGGTTGTATTAGACCTATGGTAGAAAAATAAATAATAATAATTAACATTGGTTTGATAACATTAACATACAAGTATTTAGTTAACAGCAAACTGTAATGTTTCTACCGAAATATTTGACAAGGACTTTTTGTATGATATGGAACATTCTAGAATTCTAAAACATTATATAAATGTGCGTAATATAAACAATGCTGGATCTCTAAGGTAATAGTTATCTCTTTCCATAACTGCATCGAAATTTGTCTAGTTATTTTTTCGTAAAATAATAACAAACATGCTCATATACTTTCTTGTATACAATAGTCAATAAAATAGAATAGGCAGTAAGCTTCGAATGTTTCGAAACATGAATAGAAATTCGTTATTTAAAGGTCTGTTTACTACCTCTAGATAAGTCTCCGTTAACCTATTTTGCTGATAGTTTTATATTATTTGCTTTATGTGTCAGTGAAAATTTGACAGCATCGCTGTCTTATACCTACTTCAAAACTACAGACCAGATTTCAATAAAATTTGGCATAAATAATAATATAAATCAGGTAGCAAAAATACCACATTATTACGTTCCTCTCAAACTGTGACAGCTAAAGTTAGAATCATATCGTTAATATGTCAGACGACAGACAGACAATGAGATAATTAATTAGGTATTCAGTATAGTGACGTAGTTGCCAAGTCCTGTTTCCTTTATACATAAAAATGTCACATTAAATCTGTTGCTATGTGAAAAATCAAGCAAGAAATAGCCCTTCTTGTCGTATAATATTATTTGATATAATATAATTTGGCATATTTTTTTGGCATACATGATAACTTGATTGTTTAGACGATTGGATGAATGTTATAATCAAGCAAGGGATCCCAGATTCAACACTTAGGCTTAATAGAATTTTTTAGTTCTGCATTCGTGCTTGCGACATTCAGTTCTTTTTACGCACGGTAGGGGCGCTGTACAAATTCCATAGAAAATGCTTTCGATGTCGATACGAATACTTTCTCGATAGCTTTCGTGCTAGGCACTATGATACCACTTTTTTCGAACCAGAAAGTCCATCAAGCTTTGGCAATCAAAGCAAAAATATAGAGATATAATTCAAAATGTCAAGCTTGGAGAGAAGCGTTTGCAAAAAGCCTAAACTCAAAAAAACCACCAGGTCTTGTTAATAAAAAACATTAATTTGCAGTTTAAAGTATGATAAACTCGAATTTGACGTCTCATTAACCGGTTGTCATAACCTCCATAAAAGTTGGTGGCACGTCATAATAACATTGTCATTGAAGTTTTTCGAGTGTTTCGGCAAATTTGCAAAAAAAACTATAAATTAGTTCGTGACGGCAGTACGGCAGGGCCGTCTTAAGACTACGCTGGGGTCCTTGGGCATAATAATTCAGACCCCTTTTGGAATGTGTCTTTTTTTTAACGTTGCATCACACTAGGATTTCTTGCTGAATTGTGGGTGCATTTACAAACATACAAGTTCACATACACATGATATCCAGACCCGAAACAACAATTTGTGTATCACACAAAGATTTACATCGTATCGAACCCGCTACACGTTGCCGGCAGCTAACGTGTATTACTAGGGTTGTCCCTATGGATGGTCATGGACATGGACAGGATGGTCCACCACGGTGGTTATTGTTGAGTCTAGGAAGTTTTCCAATTTTGGTAGGTATAAGCATAAATAGAGAAGACGATATTGATCTAGTTCAATTTTCTTTTCTATTGAATTTGGTAGTACGCCTATAGTTACTTACAGAAACCGTTTTATTATGAAATTATCATCATTTCTATGCAATCTCAGCTAGCCATCAGACAATTTCCTAGTTCTTCACAAATTGTAGGTTTATTCTATCGTTAGTCATCTACTAGTTAAGTACCTAGCTAATTCATTGACACTGAATTTTAATTCAAATATCCACCTCTGACGCAAATGACGCTGGTGAGTTTCCTCACATTTATATCTACTTTTTTGACAATATCATGTCTATTTTAGTCATAACTTCATAAGAGGACATCTACCCTACTTCGTAAGCTATTAATGGCCTGGTGAATTAAATATTTTAACTAGACTTAAATTACCTACATATTAACTGTTCTTTAGGATATTTTATCGGATACGAACATTGTATCTTGGTCTAAGGTATCGTTAGGGTTAGTTAGATGAAGGCACAATATAAAATACTACATATAAACCATATCGTCTTGTAAATCAGATTATTGACTCAGGAGAAAACACTACTCAACTACAACAATACTTGCTACAAATATTTTTGCAGCAAGAAAAATTAAACTGATAATTTGTACACAATTTACACACATAGCAACAACTACATTTGGCATAATATTTTACTTCAACTCTGGTTGTCTTATCACGTAACATAATCGAGACACATTTATCAATCTCTCACTATTCTACAACACGTAATTAATATTAATGGACTGATCACAAAATAAAACTAATCGTACCGCGTCAATGGCGTCTTTTTTAGCATAAAAATCCTTTAACATTTGGCGTACGTGAAACTTGAATAGAATAGACAAGTACTATAATAAAATTACTTATAAATCGACATGTGATACAGATTCTATTGTGTTAGAGGCCATGATAATAATTTACTTCTTCGAATTAAAATAGTGAAAAATTGTATTGTAGTTTAAACAAGACTGAATTAAACAATAGTTAATTTGTAAATGAATTTATGAGTAAAATAGGTGGAATTGGGTAGTTTCCAGGGTATCAAAATTAAAAATCTAATTAGTCCGTTAGTTAGATAATAAAAAAAAATTAGACACGTATTTTTTTTTAATATAGGGAAATAGGTACTAAGCTCTCAGTCTTGTGGCTAATACAAAGATAGAACCCTGTCTCTTTTGTCTCTGCCCATCGTGTGACAGTTTATCATCATCTTTTGAGAAAAGACCCCGTGGGGTAAAATTGCGGTTTAGAAAAAGAAGAACGTGTAAGAAGTTGTATTAAAAAGACCTTGTTTTTAAATGACGTGCAAATGACATTCGACCTTGGTAAAGAAATTTTATAGTCGACTATTATCTGTTTTATGTATAAAACATGTGATTTATGATACACCATTGCAATTTATGTATTTGTTGTATGAAATGTAAGGTGTTAACAAAATATTTAATAGTAGGTACGTACATTTAGACTGGCAATGAGCAGAAACAGCGAAATTTGAGTGAAACAGGAACGTACCTGGAATAAGACATATTTTTCTTTAATATATATTTACCAATACATAGGTACACCACACACAATATGCCAATAAAACATAAACCTAAACAAATAAAAATAAACAAAATGTATTACCAAGTGCAAAACTCGAGGACGACTAAAACAATTTAGATAATGCTTTTTATTGATACTTATTCAAGTAACGAAAGATTTTTTATGTACCTCTAGAAAGATATCGATAAAATCTACAGAAAAAACCAATACGACTACGTTGATATTAAAACTAGGTACAGGCGATTGAACTCTTTTAGACTTCAAATTCAACACATAACATAACATCACGCCTTTTATCCCCGAAGTGGTAGGCAGAGGTGTACATTATGCTACTGTACAATGTAACACCCACTTTTCACTATTTATGTTATGAATCCCATTTAATAGGGGGTAAGCCTATTGCCAAATACCGGGCACAATTCCAGACTCCGTGCTACAACTGAGATTTTTTTAAACCCAATAATACTTTGCCCGACCCGGGAATCGAACCCGAGACCCCTTCCCGGCAGTCGTACTTGCGACCACTCGGCCAACGAGGCAGTCACTTCAAATTCAAAACCATTATAAATGATCACAAAAGAGTTCACCCCACTTTTCACAAAAAAAAACCACTTTTCAGCTATTTAACATAACTATGTACGTTCTTAACAATAAACTAGCATAATTTATCATTTGATAGCACACAAACAGACAAAGTGAAAGTATGTATAAACCTCTAAGATGCACAAAAAATGGTGCCACTGTGCTAACACGCATTTCTTCATTTCACCGTTAAAAAATAATGGTTACTATATTTTTTGCTCGCAATAGATTGTACGCACTTAGTTTTGTGAGTGTGAGTGATACTCGTTATGGGGAACACGATGATTTCTATTTTCGTTCCTAACAGGAATAATTTAGCATATTTCTGTAACTGCAATATACATTTACTTTGTTAACAATATAATAAATATAATTAAGGCTTGTTTTGTAAAAAAATTAGGTAAAACGACAACACGGTTAGTACGGTGGCTGGGCAACCGGCTGCCACGCAACGTGTTCGATTCCCGCACGGAGCAACTCTTTGTGTGATCCATAAATTGTTGGACCGGGTCTGGGTTCATGTGTATGTGAACGCACACTTAAACGCACCCACAACACAGAAGAAAAAAAAAAAAATGTTTTTTTTTAAGACCTCTACAACCTTGAAAAATCTGACGGCCCACCCCAACTTCACCCTGACACCAGTTCCTTACGAACTATCCTGATAAATTCCGCGATTTGGCACAGTTGTTCAAAAGTTACATACATTTTGGTGATTATGTTTTTTCACCGACATTAAATTCTATTAAGAATTCTGTTATGTTTACGAGATATCATTTTTAAAATCACCGTAACTACAAAACTGTCAAAAACATAACCTTAAGCAAATATTTCCCCGTTTTCTTTTAAACGAGAGAAGCCTAAACAAATATTTTCGACAAACAAGTACTGAGTCAGGAACAAAGAATTGTTAAGGCACATGAAGCTAGCTAAACTGTGAAATACATTAACAGATATCCAACGTTATTGCTTTTATAATTAGGTCGAAAATGGATTGTTTAATTTGGATAGCTTGATACGCTGGCTGTCTCCATTACTTTGTTGACTTGGTCTCGAATGATATTTTTATTGTTTTTTAAAACGTTGATGACTAATAATCATAATAATACACTGTGAGTTCCTTTATGGTATAATACTACGCCATTTATTCACCGAAGGGTTACTCATTTTTGCTGCTGATATATACCAGATACTATTCCAGACTGCTGATTCGAGAATAGAACTCGACACATTAAGTTCATTAAGTAGTACCGTTCTGATATCTTTATTAAAGGTAGTATGTTGGTAGTATCATGTATATGTTGGTGTTCAATAATGCCTATAGTTTTGTTTAAAATCAATATTTTTGAGTGGAGTAAACCAATATTTAAGGTTTAAAACTTTAAAGGATTTTAAAGTAAATACTTAATAATGATACGAGTTTACATTATTGTTTGTCCAAATATGTGTATGATGAGGGTGACCTCAGTAATGATCAATGCCAAACACAGGTATTAATAACTGCTATCAAAAAAGAAATATTAACCCCAAAATGAAGTCGCAGAGAACCTAACAGGTTACCGGGGCTCCAGCTCGACGTGCAGGAGAAGGAACGAGGTGGTTTTTAGTCAGTAAGAGTCTGACACTCCCTCCCGCCTCACCCAGGCAGGAGCAGACATTCGATGTTTTTACCCCTTAAAAAAAACCCCGATATGAAATCAAAATTCTATATTATAAGTCTTGCATCAAGCATCTAATGTCTTCATGCCACAGAGGCTACATAGCACAACTGCAGAAATCTTATCTTATACTATTATAACAGCTGAAGATGTTGTTTGTTTGTTTGTTTGTTTTAACGCGTTAATCTCCGGAACTAATGTTTCGATATGAAAAAATATTTTTGTGTAGTATAGTGCATTTATCAAGGGAGGCTATAGGCTATAACACATCACGCTGTGAACAATAGGAGTTAAGGAGAGCTGGTAAAACCGCTAGGTAGCAGCTAGTTAAAAATACATTCCAACCACTGCTAAAGTGATGATTTAGCTGAAATGTAAAATAGGACAGGTGCGAAGTAACTGGAACTGGAGACTAGATACATAAGAATAGATAAGATCTAGTGTATATCCTTGCAAGATATAATAATGATTTTTATTTACATCTCTTTGGTTTCTACACTTTAAACTGTCAAACACCGAGCGGTCACCGGTGACCGCAACCTATTGTTCTTTAATATGCACATGTGTAGTACGTATATAGCTAATGGAATGACACATAGGAGGATATCTATTACGAGGTACATTTAACGTAGCTTAGGTACATACAAGTAAATTCCAATGGTGGCCAGTCTGTCTAACTAGACTAGACCCCAACGCAGGAGATATTATAGCGCACAAGTGTGTGTATGCAAATACAGGTGCACTCTCTGTTCTGCACCCGATGGGACGGCAGTACTACATACCAGTATTACACCATCAAACTGATACAGGTGGCAAAACTTGTCATTGGGTAGGTATATTTTAAGCCTATTACAAAGGAAATCCTATTTACTTTTACAATCAAATTGCCTTCTTACGAAATAATTAAAAACATAACTGATGACGATATAAGGAATTTTCTAAAATTATCTACCAGCTATTTTCGAAGGTTTTGGACGATTAATGACTTGAAAAAATAGTACCTAGTATGACATTAATAAGGGAATTTTAAACTAAAATAATTAGACAAGTATTTCTCAAACGGTCGACGTAAATAAAATGAATAATAAGAAATTGCATTGCTATGCAAAATACGAATTTACATCAATTGTACATACGTGAGTAAAGACCTGTCTAATTTCAGTAAAAAATAATGTATGTAATGCGAAAATTTTTAAATAAATCATAATAAAAATATTATGCTAAATAAATGCATTGCACATTTATTTAGCATAATATTAAAGCCAGCACACGTGCCAAATTTTTTATTGTATTCTCGACTTTATATCAAAACAAAAAAGAATGAAAATCTAATAAAGACAAAAGAGTAGGTTGACGTGCTGGCACCTGGATATTCTATACGACCTTGGCGTTGTTTTGAAGGCTGGACATTTCGTAAGAACTGTCACAACTGGAAGTTTTAAAATACCTGTTTCGAACTGACTTTAATATCTTATTATTACAAACAAATACTCTACAATAAGACTAGTTTTGTATTGTTGTGATATTTCTATCATCTATTTATATAAATCCTTAAAAGTTCTAGAAAGCTTGATTTAGAAGAAGTGACAAGAGTGTTTTTATTCTTATTTGAATGAACTGTTATGTATTTTTTCGTATTTATAATATTACCTTTTAACCGTCAAAATGCGTTAATTTTTCTTCACGTACTTGATACACACATAAGTAACAAAATGATAGGAAAATAATAGTGAGCGAAACACATGTAAAGTGTAGGTAATGACAACAAAGATTAATTAAACATAATAAATAACTATTATAATAATACATTTAACGTCAAAACATTAAAAAAGAAAAATAGGAAACGGATTCCATGTCCAGCAAAAAAAAATCGGTAAAAACAATATTTATTACAGAGATGTTAATACCACATTAATTAACAGTTTTAAATCAATGATGTGACTAAGAGTTTTGCTATTTTTATACCGTACAGGTTTATCTGGAGGTTAAGTGTATTTGTTTAGTCTGTAGAACTTTTCCGGGTCTTTGTGTTATGTGAAAATTTTATTTGTAAAACACACCCATGGTAGTACTTGAGAAGATCCTGGCTGGAGCTGGTTTGAATTGACGTAGATTTCAGTTCAGTATCATTAGAAGGCGAAAACCGGAAGACGGCCACTATCGGTTGCTGAACAAAGGGGCAAATCTTTGTGACAGGGTACTAGTTTTTGATTACGAAAAAGTAATTCTATATAGAAGTTCTTTCTTTATTCAACTAATGGATGGACATTCGTATTCGACTATCATAAATACTTGCACTCCAAGTCTTCTTCTAAACATGGCCATTATTAGTATCGCCGTCTCCGAAATCCATCTATCACCAACCGACCTTAACAAACATTAACCTATGAACATCCGGCTTAGTCATAGCTCCACGTTTTCTAAACAATCCCTCATATTCAAACACCAAAACGGGGTCAGCAAAACAGTAAAAAAATGCGTAACAACTTAATAAGATGAAAGATTGCAAGGGGGGCATAATTGGATAAATTGTAAGAAGCCTGAAGTCTACGTGACTTGTAGACGTAGAAATATCTGGAAACAATATAATTTTCAATAATAATGTACAAGTTTGTTTATAAAACGTGTTGTTTTAAAAACTCGTTATGTTAAGCATGTGAAGTCATTTTATGTTCTAATTTGGGGTTGTTGACTTCCTTGTTAAGATGAGGATGGCTACCGGTTGATTT